GAGTTCTGTAGTTTCCCAGAGTATCCATCCATACTACCACATCCCTTCCTTTTCCGGTTGTATTGATTGACTCTCCAGGACTGAGCTAGCCTTGCATTCCTGGGGAAAGCCAGCCCTGTGGTAACACATTATCCTGCTGCATAGTTTTCTGAAATGCCCTAGGTTTGGACTTCAGTGTATTGATGAGCCTCCCCCGACCCTGCGTTGTGGGAGGAGCTGTGCAGAACCATCATTCATTTTATCTTTGAACATTTTCATAGACTTCTCTAATGGACAACATGGACCTACTGGTTTCTTGGTTGGAGTGATTTTAAGTTGAAATCAAGAAAGAAACTACCGGGAGGAAAAGAGATGTCAGAGAAAATATTTATAAGAGACACGTGTGGTAAAGCTGCTACCCATAATTACAAAGACCTGTTCACACTCAAGGATAAGAAAACAACCTGAATCAAAAATAAACAAGGGTGGATAAACACTGCACCACAGAAGATACACAGGTGGCCGAGAGGTGCATGCAAAGATGTTCCATCACTTGATAAGTGCACATTAAAGTAACTACTTGACACAAGTACACAGCTATTCGAGTGGCCAAAATCCAAAACTGACAGCAGCAAATGTGGGCAAGAGTGTGGCACGGTGGTGGACCCACTTCTGGGGGAATGAGAAATAGTGCTGCCACCTCCCAAGACAGCCCCGTTCACCCACCCATCCTTCCTTCCTTCCTTCCTTCCTTCCTTCCTTCCTTCCTTCCTTCCTTCCTTGCTTCCTTCCTTCCTTCCTTCTTTCCTTCCTTCCTTCCCTCCTCCCTCCCTCCTTCCTTCCTGCCTGCCTGCCTGCCTGCCTTCCTGCTTTCTCTGTGTCTTTCCCTCCCTTTCTCCTTCCCTCCTTCCCTCCCTCCTCCCACCTCTCTTGTACCAGGGCAAGCATCCCAGTAGCCTATAACACCCTCGAACAAAGTAACCCCCACAGGATTGCAACACACACAAGAGCCACCATGTGAAGGTCCCACTCAAATCCACCAATTACTGAAGAGAAGAAAACATGGGGAAAGTGTCACCAATCACAGACGTGTCACCGAGCAGCTCCCACTGATGTCCACCCAGCACAGATTTGTCACCCAGCAGTGCTCATTATATTCAACACGCCCCAGAATTAGAAAAACAAAACAAATTAAGCATATTAAACAAAAACAAGGAAGGTCCTTTAAAATAACCTAAGACACAAGCTGGGAGCCAGTGACTCTTGCCTGTAATCCTAGCTACGCAGGAGGCTGACATCTGAGGATCATGGTTCAAAGCCAACCTGGGCAGGAAAGTTCTAGAGATTCATCACCAGTTAATCATCAGAAAACTGGAACTGGAGCTGTGGTAGAGCACTAGCCTTGAGCACAAAAGCCCGGGGACAGTGATCAGGCCCTGAATTCAAGTCCCTGGACCTGAACAAATAATAAAGCCAAATGATGCAAGACACAATCAGATGCTGAGAGACCAGCCCAAGTCTGAAGTGGCAGAAAAGTTTGTGAGGCCCCTTCTGAATTCATAGCTGGACACTGTGGCCTGTGCCTGTCACCTGAAGGTACCTGGTAGGCTGGGCCAGAGGGTGCCATACCAGGCCAGGCAGGGCAGAAAAGTCCAAAAGATGCATCTCACCAGAAGGAGGCCAGATGAAGAGCAGTCTGCCTGTCTGTCTAGAAACTACAGGAAGCCCAAAATATGCAGATAGCAGTCCAGGCAAATGCCAGCCAGGAAGCAAGGTCCTATCTCAAAAACATGGCCAATCCCGGTGCTCGTGGCTCACTTTCCACACACAGCAGAGCTGTGTGTGTCACTACGTAAGTGCTACGTGTCATAGTTCTTCCTAGACCCGCTTATAAACTTACTACAATCAAAGCCCAGCAGGATGACAGGATTCTAGGATCCCCGTAACACAGATGGGGGCAGGTTACAGGGTTCTAGGCTCCCCGTAACACAGATGGGGGCAGGTGACAGGGTTCTAGGCTCCCCGTAACACAGATGGGGGCAGGTGACAGGGTTCTAGGATCCCCGTAACACAGATGGGGTCAGGTGACAGGGTTCTAGGCTCCCCGTAACACAGATGGGGGCAGGTGACAGGGTTCTAGGCTCCCCGTAACACAGATGGGGGCAGGTGACAGGGTTCTAGGCTCCCCGTAACACAGATGGGGGCAGGTGAAGGGTTCTAGGCTCCCCGTAACACAAATGGGGGCAGGTGACAGGGTTCTAGGATCCTCATAACACAGATGGGGGCAGGTGACAGGGTTCTAGGCTCCCCGTAACACAGATGGGGGCAGGTGACAGGGTTCTAGGATCCTCATAACACAGATGGGGGCAGGTGACAGGGTTCTAGGATCCTCATAACACAGATGGGGGCAGGTGACAGGGTTCTAGGATCCTCATAACACAGATGGGGGCAGGTGACAGGGTTCTAGGCTCCCCGTAACACAGATGGGGGCAGGTGACAGGGTTCTAGAATCCCCGTAACACAGATGGGGGCAGGTGACAGGGTTCTAGGATCCTCATAACACAGATGGGGGCAGGTGACAGGGTTCTAGGATCCTCATAACACAGATGGGGGCAGGTGACAGGGTTCTAGGCTCCCCGTAACACAGATGGGGGCAGGTGACAGGGTTCTAGGATCCCCGTAACACAGATGAGGGCAGGTGACAGGGTTCTAGGATCCCCGTAACACAGACAGGGGCAGATGCAGAATGTCTCTGGACTCTTGCCGGGCACCGCGGATCTACTTTTTCTCCATCATTAGCTCAGCCTGTCCGACGTGGCCTTGGCTGTGGCTCCTTTTGTCCCACATAAATCCTGTGGACGCACCCAGCAGCTCATCTCCCCCACGTCCTATCATTCATTTGTATGACCTTCCTTATTCTACCTACCCGTCCGTCCCCCCATCCACCCTGCCCTCCCTCCATCCTGTGTACGGCCTTAGCGATGCTTCATCCTCTCTGGATTTGGGCTAAATGCAATAATTCTGCCATTAAAAAAAACGCGCATGTATTTTTGGTGGCTGTGTTAACACCCAGCACGAAACTCCAGGGCCATAGGACAGGCACGATGCAGTTCAGGAGACCCACCCACGATGCAGTTTGCATCCCTGGATGCATCTCCTGGACCTGTGATTCCGGTTACCCCATTCTTTGTGAAATGAGATTCCTTGGCCCATGGTGGACGCCACGCAGGAAACCCACCTCTAGTGTGAGTGTGTATCGAGTGGTATACAAAGACACATAAGCGTCCAAGAAAACAAATTCACAATGGCTCTGAATGTCTGTCTCGGTTCCTCTGTTTGTTCAGCTGTTTTGAGTGTTGTATTTGTTTCAATGTATGGCGACTCTCTCCCATAAATCAGAGCAAGGGCCTTTGCCTTTTACCTTCTACACTCTGGCAGAGACATGATGTCTTCCCATTCATCTTGCAGTCTGACTCCCGGCTCTCTAACACAAAGTACCATATCTGAACCCACCGTCTGAACCCTGCTCCCCATCTGTTGTCATGTAGATTTCCCTGTAGGTGTGGAAAGTCTGCTCCAGGCCGAGGTGTAAGGTGAGGCCTTTGCTTCCCCCAGAAGATGGGGCGGTGGGGGGCTGCATGTGGCTCCCTGGCTCCAGGCTTGGCAGGGCTGGCGCTGCCCGGGCTGCTCTGCGGGGCCACCTGGGCGTGGGGTGTCTGGGGAGCCTCCGGGGACCTCCTGGGCTGCTCTGCCCTCTACCCCCCAGGTGCTTCTGGTCCTTTCTCTCTGGGTGCTGTAGCCTGCCAGGCTCCTGTGGCGCTGGTTCCTGGCTACAGTATAGCTTCAACTTTTTTCCTCCTTGACAGAGGTCTGATTTTCATTCTTGCCCGGCTGATTTGTACCCAAGTCCCATGTCCAGGTGTCCTGTGCGCGCAGGGGTCCTGTGTGCAGCCAGCTTGCGATGGCCTCTTTGTCTGGGCTCCGGCACTGTGGCTCCCGGGTCAGAGGACCGCCGGGTCTCAGCGGTCCTGTCCCACGGCCGTCTCTGGGTTGCTGGCACGTTATCTGATTGTCCACGTTATCCAGAGCTGAACTTGCAGTCCCTTTCTGAGCCATCTGGCTTTCCCTGGCGTTTCTGCCTTCCTGTGTCGGGCCCCAGGGGCCCATCCGCGGGAGCAAGGGGGGTGTTGGGGGGGTGTTGGGGGGTGTTGGGGGGGTGTTGGGGGGGTGTTGGGGGGTGTTGGGGGTGCTGGGGGGTGTTGGGGGGGTGTTGGGGGGGTGTTGGGGGGTGTTGGGGGGGTGTTGGGGGGGTGTTGGGGGGTGTTGGGGGTGTTGGGGGGGTGTTGGGGGGTGTTGGGGGTGTTGGGGGGTGTTGGGGGGGTGTTGGGGGGTGTTGGGGGTGTTGGGGGGTGTTGGGGGGGTGTTGGGGGGTGTTGGAGGGTGTTGGGGGGGTGTTGGGGGTGCTGGGGGGGTGTTGGGGGGGTGTTGGGGGGTGTTGGGGGGGTGTTGGGGGCCACACCTCGGGCAGTACCCCCGTCCAGTCACTCTCCACACACCTGGCCGGGGTGGCCTGCGCTTCCCGGGCATCTCTGGAGGGGCTTGATGCTCCCGGGAGTGGCTGGGCTGGTGACAAACAAACACAGACACAAACTCAGTAGATGCTTCAGGAAAACAATTTATTGGAGGGTCTGACAGTTTTCACAATCAAGGGGATGGAGGCCGAGGCTCCAGACCACTGAGAGAGACCAGGGCCCAGATGCTGTGGGGTGAGGGGGCCCGAGCAGGACTGCTGCCTGCATCTGTGCACAGGCTCTGCCCGCCCAGGGGAGGCCTGACCTGTGGCCACTGCCCTCTAGACCAGAGCAGAGCCCGCTTGTTGATTGGAGAAAGTCAGTCTGTGCACAGATTGTTGGTGAGGAGCCCACGTTCCCTGAGCAGGCCTGGAGAGGACTCCTGACACCATGGAGGCATGGGCAGAGAGGTGGGGCGCCAGGCCTTGAGCTCCAGGCTCTGGGGATCGCTCAGCAGCAAGAGCTTGTTCCACAGCACGCCTGGCGGGAGCAGGCAGAGCTGCACAGCAGGGACACGCTGGAGGACGGCGCGCAGGGCGGGCAGGGGCGGCAGCAGGGCTGGCAGCTGGACGGCTGGCAGCAGCAGGAAGAAGCCTCACGGCACACGGGCTTGCAGCACATGGGCTCACGGCACACGGGCTCACGGCACACCGGCTCACGGCACACCGGCTCACGGCACACCGGCTCACGGCAGGACAGCTGGCAGGCTGAACAGGGGCAGCAGCAGGGCTGGCAGCTAGACGGCTGGCAGCAGCAGGAGGAAGCCCTGTAGCACACAGGCTCGCAGCACACGGGCTCGCAGCACACGGGCTCGCAGCACACGGGCTCGCAGCACACGGGCTCGCAGCACACGGGCTCGCAGCAGGATGGCTGGCAGGCTGAGCAGCGGCAGCAGCAGGGCTGGCAGCTGGACGGCTGGTAGCAGCAGGAGGAAGCCCCGCAGCACATGGGCTCATAGCACACAGGTGTGCAGCACCCAGGCTCACGGCACATGGGCTCACGGCACACGGGCTCACGGCACACGGGCTCATGGCAGGATGGCTGGCAGCAGCAGGAGGAAGCCCCGCAGCACACGGGCTCACGGCACACGGGCTCATAGCATGACGGCTGGCAGGCTGAGCAGGGGCAGCAGCAGGGCTGGCAGCTAGACGGCTGGCAGCAGGAGGGTGTGCAGCAGCTGGCGCAGACGGACTGGCAGCAGGGGCTGGATGCACAGCCCACTGGGGAGCAGAGGAAGGTGAGGCAGGGGGCGGGGGCGCAGCCGCGGGGCTGGCAGCAACTGGGGGCGCCGCAGGGCTCGCAGCAGCTCTCTGGGCAGTCGTCCACCTGCCAGGAGGCGTGGGTGCAGGCGTCGGAGCTGGAGCAGATGGACATGGTGGAGGCGGCCATGGCCATCTGGGCTGGGAGGAAGAGGAGGCAGAGGAGGTGTGCGTGTGAGTGCAATGGCCGCTGGCTTTTATGCCCCTCCTGTGGGTGGTGTCCTGGCCACACCCTTAGTGGTGTGATCTGCTCCTGTTTGCTGAGATGTTGTCCAGCTTTGTCAACCCAGCCTCGGATAGATAGGTTTACCTGTCAAATATTAATCCTATCTGTCTGCCTGTCTATCTATCTATCTATCTATCTATCTTCTGTCTGTCCAGCCATCCACCCATCCTGTTGCCTGGTGGGGCTCTGGGCCCCGAGGCCAGCTGTGGCGCACAGGTCCTGACGGGTCAGGGTCATGGCCCTCTCAGGACGGGTGCTCCCTCCAAAGGAAGCTGGTGCCGTGGAAGTGGCCTCCTGTGGTCTCACCCTCTCGGGGACTCCACCCCTGGTCTGCAGGGCAGTGAACCCCTGGCAGGGGCTGGAGGCCAGGGTAGCCAGGGCCACTGACTCCGAGGGGCCCAGCCTGGACCCTGTGCCCAGCGCCCTGCGCCCTGCACCCTGCGCCCTGCGCCCTGCGCCCTGCACCCTGCGCCCTGCGCCCTGCGCCCTGCGCCCTGTGCCCTGCGCCCTGCACCCTGCGCCCTGCGCCCTGCGCCCTGCGCCCTGCGCCCTGCACCCTGCGCCCAGCTCGGAACCTGCCTCGCCACCTCACACCTCTCCTGTGTCCGCCCGGTGCCCCCTCCCCAGCCGGTGCCCCCTCCCCACCCCGTGCCCCTCCCTGCCCCGTACCCCTCCCTGCCCCGTGCCCCCTCCCCGCCCCGTGCCCCCTCCCCGCCCCGTGCCCCCTCCCTGCCCCGTGCCCCCTCCTTTCTATGATACCTGTGGTCCTGCGTCTCCTTGGCTGGCACTGGCTCCGAGATTCCCTTCCATCCCCCACCAGGCACGTCAAAGACAGAGGGGAAGTGAGGGAGCCCTGCATCTCCAGCATCCCCTGTGTGCCCTCCTGCCCTCCTGCCCTCCGTTTCCAGTCCACCACAGTGGCTTCTATTTCTAGTTCATAGCCTACACCCCATCCACCCATCCCCACCCTGTACCCCCCATCCGCCCATCCCCACCCTGTACCCCCCATCCGCCCATCCCCACCCTCCACCTCCCATCCACCCATCTCCACCCTCCACCTCCCATCCACCCATCCCCACCCTGTATCCCCATCCACCCATCCCCACCCTGTACCCCCATCCACCCATCCCCACCCTCCACCCCCCATCCACCCATCCCCACCCTCCACCTCCCCATCCACCCATCCCCACCCTCCACCTCCCATCCACCCATCCCCACCCTCCACCCCCCATCCACCCATCCCCACCCTCCACCCCCCATCCACCCATCCCCACCCTCCACCCCCCATCCACCCATCCCCACCCTCCACCTCCCCATCCACCCATCCCCACCCTCCACCTCCCCACCCACCCATCCCCACCCTCCACCTCCCATCCACCCATCCCCACCCTCCACCCCCCCACCCATGCCCACCCTCCACCTCCCCATCCACCACCAGTTCATAAACCAATGATCATGACTCTTCAGCTAGAGGATGTCTGCTTTGCACTTCAGCTTCCTGATAGCATGCTGTGACGTGACATCTGGCTTCTTAAACTTATTAATGAGCTGGTCACCCATGGCTCACACCCCAAATCCTAGCTTCTCGGGAGGCTGAGGTCAGAGGCTCACAGCTCAAACCCGCCCACAGGAAGATCGGTGAGGCTCTTATCTCCAGATAAGCACCAGAAAACCAGAAGTGGTGCCGAGGCTCAGAGTGTTAGAGCGCTCTCCTGGAGCACAAAAGCTTCGGGACAGCGGGAGAGCGAGCGCCCAGGCCCTGAGTTCAAGCCCCATGAACACACAAACAAAAAGTTACGTTTGGGTTTTGAGGTTCTGAGCTGGAAGGGAGTCTATCCCTCCCAGGGCAGCAGCTGGCCCTGCCCATGTGTAGAGGAGCCAGGCCGCCTCTGCTGGCCTCGCTTCCTCATTCACCACACTAAGGCCATGATTTGGCCCTGGTGGGATTGAAGCCCGGGGCCCCAGGCCTCTCCTCCTTGCTCCAGGCCGCCGGGGCCCCTCCGCCCATCCACCCGTGCCGGTCCACCACATGGAGGCCTCCTGTGCGTCACTCGGCGGCCAGCGGCGGCCGGGCCAGGGCCAGCGCCCACCAGCCACGCGCAGCGCCGAGGCTGCAGCTCTGGAGCAGCGCAGGCCGGGCTGCACCTGAGCAAGAGACCGGAGTCAGGGTTTGTCGCCAGCACGCAAAGCCCCGACAGGCGTTTGGACGATGGCTGAGAGGCCAGAGGGAGGCTCAGAAGCATGGCCAGGTGACCCAGAGTTGTGTGGGGAAGGAGGAAGCGGGAGCTGTGGACAGATTCGGGGCCTGGGGCCCTGGGGAGAGGGGGGCTGAGGAGGAACCCCCGCCCCCCCACTCCCTGGACCCGCCGACGGCTCTGCCACCTGCACCGAGGCCTGGGGACCCCTGCGCTGACACACAGTGCTCCCTTCCAGAAACCTCCACCCTGGGCCCGCGGGCCCGCCCCCTCCTGCCTGGCCCCGCGGACAGGCCCATGCGCAGGCCAGCACGGGCAGTTGCTGGTGTTGAGCATGGGCAAGGAGCCGAGAAGAAGGTGCCTGCAAGACCGGTGTGGACCCCAGCGTCTGCCTCCAGGGCCTAGACTGAGGAGCCAGGATGAGTCACGAGGCCCAGCGCTCGCTTTCTGGGCAAAGCAGCTTCAGAGCTAAACAGGGCGCTGGTACTAATGAGCTGCACTCTCGCCCACAGGGAAGGGGCGGCCAGTGGCGGCCCAGGAGACATAAAAGGCAGAGCCCCAGCACCTTCCTCACACCACACTCACACTCATTCACACCTCCCGCTCCTCCCAGCCCCGCTGCCATGGCCGCCTCCACCATGTCCCTCTGCTCCGACGCCTGCACCCACGCCTCCTGGCAGGTGGACGACTGCCCAGAGAGCTGCTGCGAGCCCTGCAGCGCCCCCAGCTGCTGCCAGCCCCGCGGCTGCGCCCCCGCCCCCTGCCTCACCTTCCTCTGCTCCCCAGCGGGCTGTGCGTCCAGCCCCTGCTGCCAGTCCGTCTGCGCCAGCTGCTGCACACCCTCCTGCTGCCAGCCGTCTAGCTGCCAGCCCTGCTGCTGCCCCTGCTCAGCCTGCCAGCCGTCCTGCTGCGTGCCTGTGTGCTGTAAGCCTGTGTGCTGCGAGCCCATGTGCTGCAGACCCGGGTGCTGCAGACCCATGTGCTGTGAGCCCGTGTGCTGCGGGGCTTCCTCCTGCTGCTGCCAGCCGTCTAGCTGCCAGCCCTGCTGCCGCCCCTGCCCGCCCTGCCCGCCGTCCTCCAGCGTGTCCCTGCTGTGCAGGCCCGTGTGCAGGCCCGCCTGCTGCATGCCCACCTCCTCCTGCTGTGCCCCCTGCTGCCAGCCCGGCTGCTGCCGCCCGGCGGCCTCGTGCGTGTCCCTGCTGTGCCGCCCTGCCTGCTCCCGCCAGGCCTGCTGTGGCGGCTCCCCGGGCCAGTGCAGCTGCTGATGGGCACGGCCCGGGGCCGTGTGTGCCGGTCCTGCCTGTGCCCCACACAGCCCCTTAGTCTGCTCTGACCTGGGTTAGGCAGCATTGCCTGAGGTTGGGCCTCGGGTGTTCCCTGACATCTCCTTCCTCCCTCTTCTGTCCTCCCTCCTCCTTTCTCCCCCTCCTCCTTGCTCTCTCTCCTCTCCTCTGCTCTGGGCCACACGGCCTTGACTTCACTCACTCTCAGTAAACTCGCTGGTCGCCACATTCCCCTCTCCCTCTCCTGTTGTGCCACACCGGGTTTGAGCAGTCACGGGACTCCAGCCACTGCTTCTAGGAACAACGAGAGCTTCCTGATCACAAGGGAGGCTGCTACCCGCCTGGGCATGGCCGGGCACAGGGGCAGCACAGGGCAGCTCAGGACTAGGCCTCAGAAGGCCAGAGCTGCACATCTGCTTGCCCAGGGTGCTGCTGGACACGTTCGGCCCCGTGAGCCCCCCCACCTGCCTGGACACCCTCTCCAGGGAGCTGCTGGCCTCGTCTGCAGACACCGCGGCCGGGCTGTCCTGGTGGCTCTGTGCCGGCCACCCACGGCACACACTGGGGAGGCGGAGAGGAGCTGCTCTTTGGCCCAGGATGGCACTGGCTGGCACACACAGACTCAGGAAAAGCACCATAGCGAGAACTCAGGGCCCCACAGGCTCTGGGCCGGACTCTTCCCCTTAAGCCGTACCTTAACCCTTCTTTGCTTTAGTTATTTCTCAGAGAAGGTCTCATGTTTTTTTGCCCTGAACTAGCTTTGGAGTGTGATCCTCCTAATCATGCTTCTGAAGTAGCTGGGATTGTAGGCATGCATCACCACGCCAGGCCACTGTCATTTCTTTCTATCTTAATGCCCTGGCAGGGACTCAGGTGGAAAGCTGAGTAGACCTGTAAGAGCAAATTATTGTCTTGGGGAGAATAATCTGTTTTACCCCATAAAACATGAATTTTCTGAGATTGTATTTCCTTAAATAAACATGTTGAATTTTTGTTAAAAAATCCCTGGGATCCCAGGATCGTCAGATGCCCACCGTGCCTCTCCTTTTGTGCATTAATATGGTAGTGTGTGTGTGTGTGTGTGTGTGTGTGTGTGTGTCCTGGAGGTTGAACTTCGTGCCAGGGCACCATTCCTGAGCTTTTTTTCCTCTAGGCTAGCACTTCACTGCTTAGCCGCAGCTCTGCTGCCAGTTTTTTGCTTGTTTGTTTGTTTTGGGGCGGTTAATTGGAGAGAAAGAGTCTTACAGACTTTCTTGCCCAGACTGGCTTTGAATCTTGCTTCTCAGAGCTCAGCCTCCTGAGTAGCTAGGATTATGGATGTCATCCCCTGGTGCCTAGCTCTGTATTAGTTGGTTTTTAAATGTTAAGACAACTTAACATTGCAGATGTAAACTTCTTTAGCAACAAATGATTGTTTTTTAAAAAT